AGCATTTGTTGAATCAAGGATAGGGCTGTTTATTGAACCAATCGGGAAGTGTTTATTGAATCAAGGGGTGTTTATTGAATTAAACAGGAGAGCGTTTGTTGAATCAAAGATAGGGCTGTTTATTGAACCAATCGGGAAGTGTTTATTGAATCAATGGGTGTTTATTGAATTAAACAGGAGAGCGTTTGTTGAATCAAGGAGAGGGCTGTTTATTGAACCAATCGGGAAGTGTTTATTGAATCAATGGGTGTTTATTGAATTAAACAGGAGAGCGTTTGTTGAATCAAGGAGAGGGCTGTTTATTGAATCATGAGGAATCATGAGTGTTTGCTGAAACTTGCTTTTATAATTCAATAAAGATATATTTTACTTTTTTTTTATTCATCACTTAACCCTAACTTTATGGTTCATAATAGTTTAAAAGTTTGAATTTTGGGGATTAAAGTCATTTATTCGACAAATTTTATGCGATTGTTTGTTTAAACAGTTTCGTGCAAAATCTACACAAGGCCTATCTGCGCATATCTGTTCCTAACTTTGAACTGTTAGACAAGAGGAAAGGCAGCTAAACAACAGTACCCACTCTTGAGCTACTCTTGCCTGATCGAATAGTGGAAATTGACCGTCACTCTTTTTATAGTGGTCACAAAGTACGGAACGGATTTTGACGGCAACGGGACGCGACTCTAGAATCCCCGGATTTACAGCACGGGCATGCTAACCAGTAGCTCACGCATGGCCTCGAATCGATATGATTTTTAACCCGTTAGCGTTTGTATTGAAGCACAAAGCTACACAATGGGCTATCTGTGCTTTTCCCACCACGGGTATCGAAACCCGGTTTCTAGCGTTGTACCTGTAAATCGCCGTAGACAGTGATTTATTAAGTAAGACTTTCATCAGTGGCCAACGTTGTTGACCTTCGCCATCTTCTTGTGGCTCCAGCACATTATGATTGTTTGATTGTATTTAAGCACAAAGCTACACAATGGGCTATCTGTGCTCTTCCCAACACGGGTATCGAAACCTGGTTTTTAGCGTTGTAAGTTCGCAAACATAACGCTGTGCCACTGGGGGGCGCACATTATGAAAGCGACATCTGTGGCAGCTGGATCGGTGTTTAGTTCTGGAACCTGGAAGAGTCAGGTTCTATTTAGAACTCTTCCTCCCTCCTTGCCCCCCAGTGGCACAGCGGTATATCTGCGGATTTACGACGCTAGAAACCGGGTTTCGATACCCGTGGTGGTACAGAACACAGATAGTCCGGAAGAGGGCTTGCCAGTGTTGTGATGATTTACCAGTGAACTGTTTGGGAAGTGATTTTTCACAACCAAATGAAGTACAGTGGTGATCAACATTACATTCATGGACATTGGCCCTGATAAAACAGGTTAATTAGAAGCAAGTATTTTCAAGTCCTATTTACTTGAATTTTTAAATAGCATTTTACAGTGTTTCTAACATACAGTAAAGGAGGGAGGATGTTTGTTTGTTTGTAATTAAGCACAAAGCTACACAATATTTGAAACCACTAGAAGTACATGCGCGCGCAGTCACATGTATCACAGTTATTGCATGGGAATGGCTAGAGTTGTTGACCATCTGGATCAAATTCCAGATTCCTCGGCCTCTTCTCCTGCTGCTGGTCGTTTGTCATACTGCCACCCCTGTACAGGTTGAAATTTGAAACTTTGGCTTGAAGAGACTTATCAGTAGATTTAGTGGGATGACCAAAAATAAATAAACCGTCTTGTAAACATCGCCATTTGTTTTTGGGGGGAAATGGCATGGCTTAGGTTAAATCTCAAAACACTGTATGTCGAGAAACCATCCATAAAATAAAAGAGATAGCAAGGCTCATGATGTTGATTTTAACTGCCCCCCCCCCCAAGGTAGTGTTTCTATACTCTGAGATAAAGTAATGCTTGTAAGTCTAATTTCACTAATAAAACAGTATATTATAGAGCATTAGAATTGGTATCGATATTTTGAACCTAAACAGTCAAGTCAGAAACAGCCGCCGCCACAGGGGCTTTGTCCGGTTTTGAACCTAATAGCGGAATGGACTGTCATAGCACCATCAACAGCTCAAAATGCGGAGCGTCTTCAGAGGCATTGCAGCAAGGATCTTGTTCTTTCTGATACACAGCCCTGTAAAGTATATGTAGAAAATATGAAAAATGCAGGAGCTTTATTTAATATTTGCTAAATTCAATAGCTATTCTCTTTCGTAGGATTTGTAGTTTCTAGAAAGAGAGAGATTCGTCTTGGAATACAAAAAAATATTTTTTATACTGAATTCGATTGAGAAAAAAAAACAACAAAACATGGTAGACACAAACTACGGAAATTTGGAAATAATAATATTTTTATTAGCTCAACATAATCCATTCAAGATAACATCCAGCAAAGGTATGAATATTTTTGTGTCGGAAAAGGCTGTTACATAGGTTCCTCCAAAGCAAATGACCCCAGTGGCACAGCGGCATGTCTGCGGACTTACAACGCAAGAAACCGGATTTCGATAACCGTGGTTGGCAGAGCACATATAGCCCACCACGGGTATCGAAACTCGATTTTTATCGTTATAACCCATCATATTTACCGCTGATTCACCACGGTGTCGAATCCATACATCTACAAAAGCCTTATTTATTTCTATAGATATAAAAATTATGAGAGAATTTAATGCGTCTAGTTTTTACACACACACACACACACACACACACATATATATAATTGTTTGTAATTAAGCACAAAGCTACACAATGGGTTATCTGTGCTCTGCCCACCTGGGTATCGAAACCCGGATTCTAGCGTTGTAATGCCCGGGGACATACCGCTGTGCCACTAGGGGGCACACATTTGCATTATATTAGCTAAAGAAGTATGCTTTGTTCAGTCCTTGATAAATAGTTGATGACTTCCTCGTCGCTTTATTTCTTAAAGAATGACATAATTTTATGAATCAAATTTAAAATAATGTTAGCACAAATTACTGTACTAATTTTAAACCCCTTGCAATTTTCTTTTGTTAAAATTAGCTCATAAATCCACAATTTTATGATTATTTTCATTGAGACGGTATCATCCTATTGTATCCGAATATATTCTGGTGACTTCAGTATTGAATAATGTGATTCTTTTGTGCTAAAAATGTTGTTTTACGTGTTTAGAAAGAAAACGAGAACCGAATTAGCACGAAAAATATTTATTGTGAGGAGACAACGTTCTTTTTTTTTTTTTACACCTGTATAAACAACTTAGAAATAAAGTTCCAAGTTGTACGGTTGGTTTAGAATTTTAATCGGATACTTTTTGATATTCCCACGTTATATTCACTCCCCAGTACTCGTCAATTTCAGTAATAACATTTATCCACAATTGATGACGACATCGAAACGTTTTACAGTTCTTTAAAACGATCACAATTCCAATTATCAAAATTGCACATAAGCAGAGAGGTGTGTGTGAAGATCATTCCATATTTTAAAGCGATTAGTTGTCTCTACCAAAAATATAAAAAAATAAAATAAAATTTTCGAATCATGTACATATTTAAATATGCAAAAAAAGAAAGAAACAAAGAAAGAAACTTGAGTAGTTTCTGAATACAGAAATGCGTCACTCGGTACGCTAATACAGTGGTTCTCAATGTTTGGTCCTCGGTCTATTGGTGGTCCACGAAGGTCCTCCAAGTGATGCGAAGGCTGATCCATATTGCAAGTCACTGACGCGCAACGCCACACACGGCCGTTGACATACGAGAGACAGGAACAGGTGGGGTAGAACCGGTAGATGGCCCTCGAGGTCTTGAGCTCCCCCCGACGTAGGGTATAACCTTTAGATGGTCCTCGAGGTCTTTAGCTCCCCCCCCCCGACGTAGGGGTATAACCGGTAGATGGTTCTCGAGGTTTTTTGCTCCCCCGACGTAGGGGTAGAACCGGTAGATTGTTCTCGAGGTCTTATAGCTCCCCCGACGTAAAAGTTTGAGAACCACTTCATTCACTCGTACTTTACTTTTTTTTGTTCCAATTCGGATTAATACTCCAGTGATGACTATAGTTAATATATCAACATTACAAATAGCGTGTGTACAGTCATGAATATTGCAAGAACATCTTGTTAATTTTATAAAAAAAAAATACATAAAAATATAATTTAAAAAAAAGTTTTTTCACCGGGGTAACATCATCTTTTGCCAACTTGATTAATAACAAACATAAATAGGCCATGGTTTGGATGGAGAGGGGGAGGGAGGGAGGGGTAATTTCGCAACTTGAACACATTGATTAATAACAAACATAATTGATAGAAGTAAACAGGCCGTGGTTTGGAAGGAGAAGGGGTAATTTCGCAACTTGAACACATTGATTAATAACAAACATAATTGATAGAAGTAAACAGGCCGTGGTTTGGAAGGAGAGGGGTAATTTCGCAACTTGAACACATTGATTAATAACAAACATAATTGCTAAAAGTAAACAGGCCGTGATTTGGAAGGAGAGAGGGGTAATTTCGCAACTTGAACACATTGATTAATAACAAACATAATTGCTAGAAGTAAACAGGCCGTGGTTTGGAAGGAAGGGGGAGGGAGGGGTAATTTCGCAACTTGAACACATTGATTAATAACAAACATAATTGATAGAAGTAAACAGGCCGTGATTTGGAAGGAGAGGGGGAGGGAGGGGTAATTTCGCAACTTGTAGTCATCTCATCGTGACGTTTAGTTTCAGATTTCACTGCATGGTGTTCCTAGTAGTTGGTTCTTAATTTCCTCGTAAGAAATTATTTGAGATTTGTACGGGCTTAAAGTGAACTGACATAAAAATATTCAGTAATACAAAGAAGTTTTTACAGTTGTATTTGGACTTCTAACTACCTTACTAAACAAGTAACCGCTGAGGTCATTAGTCCGAACGTCAAGACCGCAGTTCATACCAAACTTTGAAAGGTTGTTTTTTTTTTGCACATTAGTAACGTGTTTTAAAATGTTAAGTCAAGGTATCCGCTTATTCATCTCGTACATTTGAACGTCTTGATAAACTGATATCGTGTCTCATTTTTCTAACGTTTTAGTAAACTTTCTTAGGTATTTACTTCATAATCCATTAGGTTACAATATATGTTGTTGTTGTTGTTGTTTTCGAGTTCGTGCACATCTGTTATGCACGTGACTTTGGTGCACTAGCTCCTTTTATCCGATATATACACATATCCAACGTCATAATGTCGAACTTTTGATATCATCTTCGGGAGAAGTTATACTTTTCTTGCACTGGCATCGTTGTGTAAAACCCGTTATATCTCGGAGTACTCTGATAACTAGGATAGTGCATCGTGGGTCTAGAATACGGTGAAGTGTTACTCTTCATTTGATGCATAAAATTGTCGTAAACAGGACCGTAGTTGCACGTATCTTCTGTGTATTGTTGTCCCACGTGAAATCCATCTTGGTCACCGTGGGGTAGCTGTGGAAGTCCTCCAGTTAGCTGCAGACTGGAGCCAATCACTCGAGAAAGAAGGTTTCCTCCTGTTGCCATGTCATCTTTTGATTCTTCTGTAATATGTACAAGAAAGTCGTGAGTTATAGTTGTAGGTTTTACTGGCAGTCTTTATAACGCTAACTGCGTTTTATGATAATGAAATAAGAATGACGACAAAGCAAGAAAAGTAATTGGACGACGCGTTACTCTGCGTTCGCGACCGAGATGGAAAAAGGAGTTCGTTTAGAAACTCGAATACAAATGTTTTAACTTTGCACAAGTTACTCAGTCGATCGCAATTACTTGAAAACGGGAGGAAATTAAAATAGGTCTTGCAAAAAAAAAAAACAACGACAAAGAAAACGAAAAGTGAGAGTGAATATAAAATAAAAAACACAAACATAAAAAAGACAAAATAATATGTGATACGAAAAAACGAAAATGATAAACTACAAATGAAAAAGAAAATACTTAATTTTATAAATGAAGCATTTGGCTAAGCATAAAGCTGCACGGGGGGGGGGCTATCTGCGTTGTGCCAACCGCAGGAATTGAACCCGGGATTTTAACTTTATAAGCCCTCAAGCTTATCGTTGAACAACCAGGGGGGCACGTTTAAACAAACAGCTAAAACAAGAAACGTGAATCATTCATGTGTAGCCTGAAAGGAAAAGTAATTTCCTACGTGATGTTTTAGGCTGGGAGTTTTATTAAGGACAAATATACCTTAAAACATTGACGCTTTAAGCCCATCACTTGTCTCTCTATTTATTTGACACCTTATGAAGACGATAGTCTAAACAGCAAGATCAAAGGCCTTCCTTAAAGTTTAAACTTCGAACCAGAGAGAGGGCAACCAATTGGCAGCATTCGCCGTCTGAAGTAAACACTGTTAACGGAATAGCGGGATTGACGTTACTCTTATAACTCGCTCAAAGTTAAAAGTGTGAAGTGTGTGTTTCGTATAAACACGTTTCCGCCCCGACACGCTCGGATTCACAGTCCTGGCACGATAACTACTGGGCTACGCTCACACCATGGGGATTATCAGTGAAATGTGCAACAAACTACACAACGATAACTTGTACCGTCACTTTTTATGAAGTAATGCCGTGTGTATTTATTTTAGATTATTAAGAGCATCTTCTGAAAAATTCCACTGAAGACACTACTATAATCAATATATTTAATCGAAGTGCGTAATGAAATTTAATTGACAAGCAATAGTAGCATAGAAAGAGGGGACCAGGCCCCCTCACTTTTCAATCTGTGCCAGTAAAACTGCATCAAAATTAGGAAAATTATTCAATTATTCTCAGGAAAAGCATGAGAATGCATAAAATTTAATCCAGAACCCAAGAACTTCGACGGTCCTAATGCGAGCCCTGGGCACCAGCCGTAATGAGGTGCGCCTATGACGCACATTTTCTCGCTTCCCTCGGTTAAATAAACTTTTAATTTACCTCCTACACTCTGGGCAAGAAATTAATAGAACATCTGTTGACATCTCGTGAATGTCAAGTGACTGAAGTTTTAACCGAGTGAAAAATGTCGCTATTCAGCATATATCTTGTTGCATCTTAAACAAACATGATTAACCGTCATATGCCCCTGAAAGTTTATAAACGATTGGATCAAAATGTATGTAATATTACAGTCTCACCTACACGTGACTCTTCAAATAGGTTTCACTAAAACACAGACAAGCTGTGATTAAAGATACAGTCCGTGTGTCAAAAGTACACGCTTTTTTTTATTATTGTTGTTTTTTTCACTGAAAACACACGAGACTCCACATCGGAATATTAGGCGCCGATATAGTAAATGTAGAGTTGGGCACGAGCCTACATTTTCACTCTGTAAATTGCTAAACAATAAAGTCTATGTTATGTCTACATAACTTTTAACAAGCTACGTTCGTTACTAAAATACGTTTGTTACTATAGAACAAGCTATTTTATTCCTTAAAGAAGTAACAGTTTGTTGATAAATATAGAACACGAGTGA